AAACGAGAACAACCGCAAGTGGACATGGAGGAGCCCTAATGGCGAAAATGAGAACGAAATAGACTTTATAATGAGTGCACACCCAGGAATCGTGCAGGATGTGGAAGTGATTGGCAAGGTACGATGCAGTGACCATAGAATCGTACGGTCTCGAATTCGCCTAGACTTGAAGAAGGAACTACAGAAACTGACACGCGAGACGCCAATCATTGAGCTAGCACTGAGAGGGAAACTACAGGAATTCAGAGTGTCGCTTCAGAACAGGTACTCGGCTCTTAGTGAGGAAACCAACCTTAGCGTAGATACAATGAATGATAATCTGACGAGTATCATTACGGAGTGTGCAGTGTAAGTTGCAGGCAGGGTAGTTAGACAGGACACTGGCAAGTTTTCCCAGGACACGAAGAATCTAATTCAGAAGCGTCAAATCACGAAAGTCTCAAGTACAACAGACAAAATAGAACTGGCAGAGCTTTCGAAGTTGAATTATAGGCGTAAGGTATGCGATGTAAGAAGGTATAGCATGGAGAGAATCAAACACGCTCTGAAAAACGGAGGAAGCGTCAAAGCAGTGAAGAGGAAACTTGGGATAGGCAAAAGTCAAATGTATGCACTAAGGGACAAAGAAGGCAAAATAATTACCAATATGGATAGGATAGTTAAAATAGTGGAGGAGATTTACAGAGATCTGTACAGTAGCCGAGACAACCACGTTCTAAATACTATAAGAACTAGCAGTAACCCAGATGACACCCCACCTAGTAATGATAGAAGAAGTCAGAAAGCTTTGAGGAGCATGCAAAGAGGCAAAGCTGCTGGTGAAGATCAGGTAACATCAGATCTACTGAAAGATGGAGGACAGATTGTGGTAGGAAAACTAGCCACCCTGTTTACGAGGTGTCTCCTGACGGGAAGAGTACCAGAGTCTTGGAAGAACGCTAACATCATCTTAATCCATAAGAATGGAGATGACAAGGACTTGAAGAATTACAGGCCGATCAGCTTGCTCTCTGTAATATACAAGCTATTTACAAAGGTAATTGCTAACAGAGTGAAGAAAACATTAGAGTTCAATCAACCAAAGGAAACAAGCAGGATTTCGAACAGGCTACTCAACAATTGACCATTTTAGTACTATCAATCAGGTAATAGAGAAATGCTCGGAGTATAACCAACCACTATACATAGCCTTCATAGATTACGAGAAGGCGTTTGATTCAGTAGAAATATCAGCCGTCATGCAGACACTGCGGAATCAGGGCGTAGATGAAGTATATATAAACATTCTGGAAGAAATCTACAGGGGATCAACTGCTACCATAGTGCTTCATAAAGAAAGCAACAGAATACCAATCAAGAAGGGTGTAAGGCAGGGGGACACAATCTCCCCAATACTATTTACCGCGTGCTTACAGGAGCTTTTCAGATGCCTAGAATGGAAACAGTTAGGAATAAGAGTTAATGTAGAGTACCTTAGTAACCTGCGCTTCGCCGATGACATTGCATTGCTGAGTAACTCAGGGGACGAATTGCAACTCATGATTACGAAGTTAGACATGGAGAGCAGAAAGGTGGGTCTTAAAATTAATCTGCAGAAAACGAAAGTAATGTACAACAACCTCGGAAAAGAGCAGCGCTTCGAGATAGGTAATAGCGCACTTCAAGTTGTAAAAGACTGTGCCTACTTAGGGCAGGTAATAACCGCAGAGCCAAATCACGAGATTGAAGTAACTAGAAGAATAAGAATAGGGTGGAGCCCATTTGGAAAGCAGTCTCAAATTATGACAGGTAGATTACCACTATCCCTCAAGAGGAAGGTATATAACAGCTGTATCTTGCCGGTACTTAGCTACTGAGCAGAAACCTCGAGACTTGCAAAGAGGGTTCAGCTTAAATTGAGGACGACGCAGCGAGCAATGGAAAGAAAAATGGTAGGTGTAACCTTAAAAGACAAGAAGAGAGCAGAGTGGATTAGGGGACAAACGGGGGTTGAGGATATCATAGTCGAAATAAAGAAGAGGAAATGGACATGGGCCGGGCATGTAGCCCGTAGACTGGATAACCGCTGGTCATTAATGGTAACTAACTGGCTTCCCAGAGAAGGGAAGCGGGTTAGGGGGAGACAGAAGGTTAGGTGGGCAGATGAGATTGAGAAGTTTGCGGGTATAAATTGGCAGCAGCAAGCACAGGACCGGGTTAACTGTCGAAACATGGGAGATGCCTTTGTCGTGCAGTAGACGTAGTCAGGCTGATGATGATGATGATGATGATGATGATGATGATGATGATATAAAAAAAACGTGGTATAAGCAGCGTGCGACACGACACGAGTGGGATGCTGAAATGCGGAGGTCAAAGGACTTTCCTTAATTCGTCTGCTAAAATACCACGCTAAAATTTCCTTTGTAGGAAATATGAAGAAAGCTTGGACTAGCACAGGAAAAACAAGTAGGCGGAAAGAGCGTGAACTGTCGACTGGTTTATCCGTTCCTAAAGCAGCCGAATATAAGCTTCTTCAAATGTCGCTAATGTGAAGAGATTTATCATGTCAAGTAAACCTGCGCAGAAAATCACCTTATATAAGTTAACCGACGTGTCACTCACGCTTCTCTTCAGTGATAGCTTCCAAGAGTTCCCTCCAAACTGTGGCGCTTATTTTTCCCAAAATATTTATCTTTTCATCAAAGGCTTGCATCCTAGGCACGTGCCGCAATGAGCAGCCAGATGCGCTCCGTCTCTATTTATAACAAAGAATCCTCCTTGGCGCGTTTATTCGTGCAGTGCCCTGTTTTTCACACGTAGGATCTTCCACATTTAAGCGGTATTTCAATTATATCTCTTTCGGGGCACATTTGATGAAGCTTTCCGCATGCCTCATTCCGCAGTGATTGTGTAGGCATTTTTCGGCGGCAATCTTGGAGCATGGTCCGGCAAGCTTTCTAGGTGCCGATAAAAACCACGGGGAGACTATACCTTTTTGTCACTTTTTTACGTTGTGGCTGATCTTGTGCTAATACAGCACAACAATGAGCTGCTTTTCTGCTAGGCGGCTGATGATGGCACCGTGCATTCTTTGTTTTTTTTTATCTTTTTAAGAAAAAGGTCAAGCAATACGTGGTACACCGCTTGCTGAGTTGTCTAAGTTTTTCGTTCAAATGTTTTGAAAGATCGCTGCTTTCTGTAGTGGAATCACCCTTCCTAAGCCGAAATGGAAAAGTAAAACTGAATAACTGAGCACGTACTGAAACAAAAGCATGTAACACAACGGTGATGCCATATTTGCATGGATTCTCAGACAGCCTCAAGAAAGTGATCGCAAAGAATGGCGTAGGTTCGTGTTGTCGGCACCGTGCAAGCTCTCCACGCTTTGCAAGTGCATAGCTACGCAAAAAAGTGATTCCAGTAGCGTTAGTGGAAATAGATACATGTGTGCACAAAACGTGCTGTTTCGGCAGTATACTGAATTTCCTTAATTATCATGCGACCAGGTCCATATTAATCGTACTCGCCAATGCTTGAATGACAGGATGTGTGAACACCACAATCTCTTCCCTACTGGCACTGGTGAGAACACGCTTCTGCACTGCAAACGCCGTGGCTGCGCGCCGGATTCCAAATCAGCGGTCGTCATGGTCAAATAGACAAAAAGAAAAGTGAACGCGAACTTTGTAAGGCTTTCAAAATCAAGGACCAGAACAAAGTGTCATGAAGGAGCGAACCCTCAGTTTTCCTCACAGATGAAGAACTCGTGTTTCTGTATAGCTGGTAAGGTTTGCATTGAAACTTTTCGGGAGTTTTACACATTTCAGGCTCCTTACTATAAGGTCTGTAACTTTGACCTGGCTGAGATGCCTTTTACGCATGCACTCCTGGTTGAAGTGAGGGGGTGTGCGCCATTCTTCAATAAACATACAGTTGCAAGTTGATCACTTGTCCTGCCTGGTTGTTTTCCTTCGCTGTCTTCGGTATGGCATTTTGCTGGCGTCATCTTACGATCATAATCCTCATTAACATCATCATCTTGAAGGTAATTTTTGTTGCCGTTCGTCTTTGCGATGGTAAGTGCGGCTACTGTGACTTTTGTCTGACGAGACATATAAGGTTTTCGCCTTAATAAATACCACGCCTTTCAGGCGCCAGTGTGACCGTTTTACTTAATAGCAAGGTGAAGCTATGTCCACCGAGTTTCCAAATGTACACTAGAGGGGACTCTGGCGCTGGTGTCTATGAGAGCTCCAACCCACTGCGCTTCAGCGAGCATGGGAAGGATGGGTATATTACACAGATTTGTCTAATTTTCGTACTTCTCGCCTTATTTTAGCTTTGTGTGTGTTTGTGTGGTTTGTAGCTGTTTGCTCACGCAATAAAAATCAGCAAATGTTCAGCGGTTGTGCTTCACCACCTTATTTGTTTAGGCTTACCTTTTCAAGTCGGGTCACGAAGTTCGAAAGGGTTCGTTCTTTTCTTCAAAACAAAACCGAAACAGAGCAATGAATGAAGGACACAAGTGCGATTCGCCGCCCACAAGTACGAAGACTAGGCGAACCTGTGTACTACCCATCATTCCCATGGTCGCTGAACGATTGCACCACCAGAGTCACCTCTAGTTAATTTTAGAAAACTCTATGGCTATGACAACTGGTATACCAATACAATCATCCATTGACCTCTCATTCCTTTTCACCTTGGTACGTTTACCGTCGACAATTATTATTTTTCATACCTGTCACGCATACGGTGACATGACACATCGAACCAAAGTTGTCCGCTTCTGCCTCTCCTTCGTGTGCGTCACAATTGCAGCTGCAGCCTTAACTAACATGTGCACTGAAAGAGAGCCAGTGTACAAAAAACAGCAAAATCAATGAACCCTTCAGGCACTTTCCGTTTAATTAAAATTGTGGTCCTCTGCACATCAAGTGAGCTAAAAAAATCAATAATACTACTGTGAAAGAACTTTGACATGAGCTACATATCACTGCAACAGAACATTGTCATGTGCAAAGCCGTTTCTAGTTCAGTCATACATCGTACTGCCGGTCACACTGAAGGACAGAGTCCAAATCACGGCTTTGCCATGTGGGTACTTGTTTTAGCCGTGGCCCTCTCTGTCTCTACCGCTTTCATCGACGGTTCTGATGTGGATCGACATGCAAACATGAGTACTGTAAGTGCGTGAAGGTTTAATCGTTGTTTTTGCAGTTAAGTGCTTCGCGAGGCGTCGCATGTGTTCACTAAATTTTTCAACAACACACACACAACTGTCAATATTTTTCGGCTCTCCTATACAAGCGCATTGCCTAACGTAATATGCCCGATAATTGTGTGAACGCGTTTGCTAAAGTACATTCGGTACAGTGCGTAACTTCGTGAATAGGCTCTAATCCTAATAATCGATTACGATTGCCGCACACTTCATTACCGATCATTCAGGTAAGTTAATGTTTCACTCTTCTGCAGTATAAGTTCTAATTATTTGTTCAGTCGCTACTAAGTGCCTAAGTGAAGCACTAAGTCACCGAAAATTGTCTACATTATGTTCAAGGTAAAATGAACAGGAAGTTTTATATTTGGCTGGCATAAATCTAGAGGTCTTACCTCTTCATCATTGTAGCCAGCTTGAGGTCCGAGAACCTGAAAATGCACTGGCACGCTTTTTAACACCATAGAGTTAGTGAGAGAGCTCGTTTTACAGAAGTGGGGGTGCCATCATCGTTGGTCGCGATCAGCGTTGGCCGTGAACGGAGATAGACAGAAATAAACAAAATATTTAAGCTATTTAGTTTGGGCTGTAATCGAACAAAACACTTCTGTGTAAGGAGAAGGTGCTTTACCATAGTGACGCTTTGTTTTGTGTGTGTGTGTGTGTGTCGTAAAACACCACATCAATGAGATGTATACCGAGGAAATATTTCGTGGCAGCATTGTCGAACAAAAACAAACGTCTTATTATGTGAACTGCGCAGCGAATGAGATCCCTTGCGCATTACGAAGCATCTAGGCATAATTAATGATCAACGTAACAAACAACATCAACAAAGCGTGCACGTGAATGCTTGTTTGCTTACGGACGCGTAGTTGCTATGTCACTAGTATACGCAAGAACATGTATGGTGGACACTTCACAGATCTACATTCAGTACAGGGATAGTATCTGACGTCCAGTTTACAGGCGGAGACCCTCTATTTTCTTGCGGCAGCCAGGAAGCAAGTCTCGCGATTGAAAACGCGAAGCTCAGGCGTCCCCGAAGTTTTTCCGTCCAACGTTTCCAACTTACTATCACAAAAGCTAACTCCGCGCCTATTAGTTAACAAACAAGAATACAGTGTCAAACGACTCTGTCCTTTGAAACCATTATCAAGCTTGTTTTGATCACAGTTTTCTACTTGGCGTTGGTAATAGTTTGGCTGTCATGTATGTGTTAATTGTTCTAGTATAACTCTAATGTCACTCCACGCAATAGTAAATAATCAAACAGTGCGAATTTTCAACGTAAACCAGATACTTATCCGTAGTCTAAGTGGCTCGAATATTGTAAGCTGAAAATGCAAGAAGAAAATTTATTTTCAGTTATAAAATGACCTAGCTGATTCTAAAATTGTACAAAACATTGATGTTAGACAAAATAGCACTAGAAAATGGAGAACAGATGCTTTCTACATAACACGAAGCCAATGACACCAACAGAAATGGTTGAACATTTTGTAAAATGTTTGCATAACACATAACCAGAAACAGCTCCCATTAGAAAGCAGAAATGCCGCAGTTAGTCCACTGCTACTCTCACGCACTGCGTTTTGCGAGGCAAACTTTTGAGCGCTTCATTGATGAACTCGTCCATGGCCTAGACTTCTGCTTCGTCTATTTTGAAGACATAATGGTCTTTTTGTGTGACGCTTAAGAAAACCACGGGCACCTTCGCCTGTTGCTCCAACGCTTCGACAACCATGGCCTGCTTGTCAAAATCCAGAAGAGCACGTTCACTGCTTCCACTGTCCATTTTCTCGGCCACAAACTTTCGTCAAAGGGAACTCGACCCGTTGCCTGAACGCATCTCTGAATTGGAAAAGTACCCTCAAGCCACCTCTGATAAAGACCCTCGCCGTTTTAACGACATGCTGAACTTCTATAGGCGTTTCTTACTGCACGCCGCTGACTACCAATTGCACAAGATGTCTTAGCTCGTCTACGAGGATTCCAACCTGTCTTGTGGACACTAACATTGGTGCATGTTTTCTAGCAATGCAAGGCTGCTCTCTGCACCACCATGACCTTCTCCCATCGCGTGTCTGACGTTCCTTTCAGACTCTTCCCAGACGCCTCTGGTGTCGCCGTCTAGCGCCGCTGTGATGCAAGCGTGGACAACACCTGGAACCTCTCGGCACTCTTCTCTAGGAAACTCTCAGCTCAGAAGGTGATACCTTTAATGGCCAGTTCCACCGCCGAAACCACGACCGCTACGCCTACGAGTTCATAAGCTTACTACAGAAAATATGTGGCAATATACGAGCAGTGCAACACTTTCGCCACATTCTCGAAGCGCGCGCCATCTATACCGACCACAAACCTTCTAATATATGCCTTCTTCCAATGTCGCGATCAGCTCCCCCCTGTTCAGCAGAAGCAACTGTCGTTCATCGCACAGTTCACCACTGACACCAAACATGTCAGCAGGAAAGACAATGTGGTCGCCGACGAGCTTTCGCATGTAGCCACCATGAGCACAGTGCAAATAACACCGGATGTCCTCGCCGAGGTTCAGACCACGTGCGCCGAACTGCAGGAATTTTTCAAGGGCACATCCTCACTACACCCACAAGAAGAACAATCTGCCGCAACATGTCGACAAGACGAAGCAGGCCCGATGTGCCCCTGTGCCATCTTCGTGGTCTTTTCAATCAGCTCCACAACCTCAGCCATCCCGGCATGCGTGCCTCCACACGCCTCGCGACTGACCGCTATGTCTGGCCCTGCATGCAGTGGAATCATCACGCGTGAACCCGCTCCTGCAGTCTCTGCCAACGTTGTAAAATCACCAGGCACGTCACGGCCCCTTTTAGACAATCCCTCAGCCCTCAGATCACTTCGAGCACGTCCACCACGACTTCAAAGAACTATTTCCCCAGCAGGACCCGGCAGCTACTGTATGCCTCACCGCCATCGACCGGTACGCTCGATCGATGGCCCGAGGCATGGCCCCTCGAGGAAATCACCGCAAAAGACGTTGTCTTGGTCTTCTCTGGCTGGATTGCCCGTTTTGGCAGCCGCCACCGCGTAACCACTGACCAAGAACGACAGTTTGAGTCACCCATGTAGACTCCTGGAAATCACCATCGGGTTTGAAAGCTTGAGGACCACCAGCTACCATCCTTGCGCCAACGGAAGGATCAAGCGTTTCCACCGACAGTTCAAAAATTATCACGTGCCACCCGGACTCAACCTAGCTGGAGGCAATCCAAGCTGTCATCCTCGGTCTTTTCGCCGCCTTCAAGCCGCACATCAACGATACACCAGCAGAACTCGTCTACAGAGAACCACTCCGTATACCAGGTGAATTTATCGCAGCTCTGCCATCCACCGCTACGACATTGGACCCCACCGACTTCCTCGCCTGGCTCCGACGCGTTACCACCGCCTTACGCCCGTCACCTGCAGCCAACCGTAGCAAGCCTACACCTTTGGTGTTCAAGTAGATAGCACCGTGCAAGCAAGCTTTCCTCCACGACGACACCGTCCGCCATGCTTCCCAGCCACCCTACAGCGGACCCTACCTTGTCGTCCATTGAGACGACAATATCTTCACCTTGCGCGTGAACGGGAACGACGTCCACGTCTCGATTGAACCACTCAAACCTGCATACATCATAGCGAACGAACCGGGCATCGCCACTCTTTCCCATAACGTCCTTCCACGGCCGCCGACGTCGCAGCCCGCTCTTTTTGCAACATGCTCGGGACGTCTGGTATGGCTCCCAGATTTCTACAGACCCTGAAGGCTTTGAACTTTGGGGGGGGGAGGGGGGTTGATGTGGCGGCTAGTGCGCGGCGACCAGCGCAGCCTTGTGTCGTCACTGATTAGCCCAGCGTGACACGGGCACTTCCAGCAACACGCTTGCGATAAAAGACAGCGCCACTGAAGTTCAATCGGAGGCTTATGTCACCACTGGTGGCTATATAACCCAAACTACCAAGCTTGGTTTCATGAATATTTCTCTAACTTTTCGAGCACAGTGGCGGCATGTTTGCCCCGCTGCAGCTACCACGTTAGTAAGCGATCGTTACGTTTTATGTTGGGATCCGTCTTCAGCGCGACGAACGGGTCCACAATGAAGACGTATGGCTCGCTGCGCGTGCACGTCCAGCTCAAGAACCTATGCCCCGATTTTCGCTTAAAACTTGTTATCGCCGACGTCGCCGAGCTAATCATCTGTTCAGACTTTCTGGCTCAATCCAACCTTTTTCCGGACTCCTGCAACGACCGGCTCATCGGCGTGACAACGAAACCCTTCCCACCAGACCAGCAAATGACCGCCCAACAGCAAAGCATCAAGGTCCTGAGTGTCTACGAGCACTCACCGTACAATTCCACGTTCGCCGAGTTTCCAGGCTTGACGCGCCCCGGTGGACTGTCTCGCAAAGTGCAGCGCACCACCTTGAGCTACATTCAGAACTCTCCAAGACCTCCCCCCCCCTTCCCCGAGTTTTCTGCTGTGCCCGTCGCATTGTTTAAGACCGCATGCGCATAGCTAAGACAGAGTTCCAAGCCATGCTATGACAGGGCATCGCCCGTTGCTCCAACGGCTATTGGACCTCGCCACTTCACCTTGTCGCGAAGAAGACTGCTGGCTGGCGACCATGTTGGGATTATCGTGCCCTCAATGGGCGCACCATCCCGGAGAGGAACTCCGTTCACCACTTCGCCCATCGCTTTCACGGCAGCCACGTCTTCTTTGTGCTAGACTTGGTGAAGGCTTCAACGCAGAGACCCATCAATCCGGACGACGTCGCGAAAACTGCAACAATCGCCCTATTTGGCTTGTTCGAGTTTCCCTTCATGAGTTTTGGCCTAAGGAACGCAAGGCAAACTTTTGAGCGCTTCATCGATCAACTCGTACATAGTCTCGGCTTCTGCTCCTTCTATCTTGACGACATATTGGTCTTTTCGT